TTCCTCCCTTGGAGACCTTGGGAACAGGCGAAGAAAGAGGCAGGGTCATTTGGCTCTGAAGGCTGAGGGATGCGAGTGCTTTGGCTGCGGAGCCCGCGGGGAGCATGAGTCACATGGACTGCCTCGGCAGATCCAGGCTGACAGCATCCACCCGGCCACCGCCTCCCCTCGCGCTCCAAGGGCAGAAATCCACTGGGAAGCAGGAGGGGCCTGGGGAGGTAGGGCTCTGGGACGAGGTTATTTCAACCCGTGCGCTTCTGGTTCAGCAGAACCGGGCAGGGCAGCATCACCTCAGCTGCCTCCAGAGACCCTCCAAGCAGGTTCTGTGGGTCCTGACAGGGGACCACGCGTTGTAGGTGGCTCCGAGGGACTGGAGCGTGTGCTTTTTGCCTTCTGCAGCCCAGAAGCGTGGAGAGCAGGAGTACCAAGAAAGACCAACACGTTAGGGAAAACCAGCACTTCTCACTTTTTTCTAAACTCTCTGCTTTCTGTGACGTTTCCACATCACTGCACAGAGCTCTTGCTGCCCTTGTCATTTTGTAAGTATTGCCACACGTGTCCTTCTGAGTCCTGCCATCAGCTCAGGGCTACTCTGATGAGCTGTCACCGCACGGTAAAATATGTCCATCGTTGTGTTTGCTGCTTTGTAGAGTTGTACAAGACTGTGGTTTGCATCGCACAGAGGAATTATTCCATTGCAGATCATAGAATCATAGAATCATATGGGGTTTGAAGGGACCTCTGGAGATCATCAAGTCCAACCCCTCCCACCGGAGTGGGTCTACCTAGAGCAGGTTGCACAGGATCTTATCCAGGCGGTTTTTGAATGTCTCCAGAGAAGGAGACTCCACCACCTCTCTGGGCAGCCTGTTCCAGTGCTCTACCACTCTCACAGTAAAGAAGTTCCTCCTCATGTTTAGGTGGAACTTCTTATACTCAAGTTTGTGCCCAGATACACCCTCACCGCGCTGAGCAAAGGGAGAAGTCTCCTCAATGCCTCCTGAGAAGGAGGACCAGGATACGTGCAACACAGCCTGTTAAAGGCCTGGGATACCACAAGGAAGGGACCACACAAAAGTGAGATCTGATAGGGACACCTGGCTTCTCATCTCTGTCTTTTGTTTTGTGCAAGCTTGTTCTTATCCGGTCTGAACCTCCACCTCCGTACTGTCTTGAAGCCCACACTGAAGCTTTTAGTATTACGCTCAGATGGAAAGCAAAGCCCATCTGGGACTCGCTCTGTGGATGACTTTTCTCTCAATCAGGGCAGCCTGTGCATCTAGGGAACAAAGAAGGTCGTCATGTGAAAAGATACAGACAGGAGAGCTGCCAAAAAAGGAGATTTATGAGCTCGGAGCCTGGAGTAGTTTGTGCTTAGAGGTGAGTTTCAAGTAGAGTAGGGCAGGGTCATGATTGCTGAGAGCAGGAGACCTACTGAGGAAGTATGCAGCGTTGAGGAAGGCTTATCATTCTTGTTATGCCTATCCAGATGGGATAACTGGAAGCTGTGCATCTCTGGACACAGCTGTGCATTTACAGACATCCCCATGACACCATCACGTCCACTGTAACCCCAACCAGGCCACCTGGAAGCAGGTGGAGGGACCTCCTGTATCGATGGTGGGTCTAGGAGCCTGACCATGCTTTGCAGGTCAGTTCCAGCTGTGAGTGGGGACACAGGTTTTGGTCGCTTGTGAGGGCTCAGCGTGCCTCTTCCAGCCCTTGGAAGAGAGCAGAACTGGGGTTGCTGAGCTAAGGGTCCTGCACCCACAGGATGATCCTCTTGCTGAAAAAAATCAAGGCTTGTGTTTTTAGGTACAGAGGTGGTTGGTTCAGCTGCCAGAGCCTCGGGTGAGCTGGAGATGGCTGCAGTGCCAGAGGAGCTCATGGTGGATGCTCACCCAGCTTGCTGCTTTGTCCCACCCGGGGATCGGGTGGTACAGGACAATCCCTCTGCTCCAGACACCTGTGTGAGTGGAAAGAGGAGCAGACTTGAGGAGAAGGGTCTGAACTGCAGGAGCAGAGGTTGGTTTTGGTTGAGGTGACTACGCCAAGCACTTTATCATGATCGTGATATCGACCACCACTGACCCTGTGCTCATTTTCCCTCATACAGCTCCCAGAACTGACCTCTCCTTAAGCCCTGACCATGCCTTGGTTAGCAGACTGATGGGCCTCAGCTGGCTCCCAAGTGACACTGGCAATTGAGGGGCAGGACAGGAGCAGGAGCAGTGACTGCATGCACCTGGGATATGCACCAGGGCTTTTCCAAAATTAGTGGAGCTTTGGTGCACGAGTACAAGCTATGGGAAGGAAAAGGATGTTAGCACGAGCCTTCATCACTCCTGTTTGTGTGAGGAGGATGGTGGAGGAGTCGGCATGACCCTGCTGGTGGCCCACACCTGCTGCCACAGCTGCTTGGGGGGGCTGCGTCCCCACTCCAGGGGTGAGATGGGGTTGTGTGTGTGTGTGGGGAGATTTCCCCCATCTCACAGGTGTTGTCTCTGCCGTTGTTGCCACCTGCCTTTTCACCCTCAGCAACGGCGAGATGCTGGTGTGACTGCTACAGAGAAACCCCCTCCTCCAGCATGGGGGTCCTGTAGGGGTGGGGGTCTCCTCCATGGGGAGCCCTTCCCACAGCCCAGAGCCCCTCTCTGCCTCTCCCCAGCAAGCCCAGCGCAGGCGAACAGACCTGGAGCCCAGCCAGTGGCAGCTGTAGGTCCTCAAGGCCTTTTTGACCCGCCGCTAGCAGACAGGAGAGCAACTTCTATAAACACAAGGCTTCTGTGTACATATTTTGACAGTATTTTTTCTTTCAGGACCTTCTGGCAACATCTCTGCAACATGCTTTTACTTCCATCCTAAATGTCCTGGGCTTTTTGCTCCCTCTTCCCCTCTCCTTGAGCCAGCAAGGAGCCATTTTTCGGTGGTTTTCTCACAAGCATCTCTTCTCTGCACTCTTCAGGCTTGCACAGTCCAAGGCTGGTTTGTTCTCCTAGGAAATGGCTTCGTCACCTTCTTCCCATCAACATTCACAACTTCTTCAGCCTCTGATTTCCAGAAGCCATTGGTATCCTGACCTGCCTTCCTGACAAAATTAGTCCTGAATTAGCCCGCTGCTCGTAGTGTTACCACTTGTGCATTGGTTTGTTGTGGGAGAGGGGAAGACTACACGCCGAGGGATGGAGCTGGAGGACATGGTTTAGTGATGGCTTTTTATCAGAGCTAGGCTGATGGGCTGCATCAAAAGATGCGTTGCCAGCAGGTCCAGAGAGATGACTCTTCCACTTTGCTCTGCTCTGGTGAGACCTCACCTGGAGTATTGTGTGCAGGTCTGGAGCCCTCAATATAAGAAGGACATGGACCTGATGGAGAGGGTCCAGAGGAGGGCCACAAGGATGATCAGGGGGATGGAGCACCTCTGCTACGAGGACAGGCTGAGGGAGCTGGGGTTGTTCAGCCTGGAGAAGAGGAGGCTCCAGGGAGACCGTTTAGAAAGGCCTGCAGTGACAGGACGAGGGGCAATGGCTTCAAGCTGGAGGGGAACAGATTTAGAGTGGAGATTAGGAGAGGGTTCTTCACTGTGAGGGTGGTGGAGCACTGGAACAGGTTGCCCAGGGAAGTGGTTGAGGCCCCTTCCCTGGAGATATTCAAGGTGAGGCTTGACGAGGCCCTGGGCAACCTGGTCTAGTTGGGGGTGTCCCTGCTGACTGTGGGGAGGTCGGATTAGATGACCTTTGGAGGTCCCTTCCGGCTTGGACAACTCTATGACTCTATGATGACTCTATGATTTTATGATGGTTGGACTAGATGATCTTAAAGGTCCCTTCCAACTAGACAATTCTATGATTCCATGACACTGCAGGGCTCAGACTGCCCAGGAAAAGCAAATGAGGATGGACAGGTTTCAAGGAAAGCAGAGGGATGGTGAGTTAAGGAAGGCTCATGGTGGGAGATAGATAGCGAGAAATCAGGATTCCAATCCTAGCAGGAAAGGGAGAAATGTGGATTTGAACCGGATGAGAGTGCCTTGGAAAAAGTTTAGTCCAGCTTGCAAAAATAAAAAAAAAAAGAAAGAAAGAAACCCAACTCCAAAGTAATTTATTGTAGCTCAGGCAGATAAAAGAAGTACATAAAATTGGTTCCACAGGAAAGTCAAATCAAGTGCATGAGCAAAATACAAGCATATATGTGAGATATATATATATAGTTTGTGTTTATATATATTCTATGTGTTTATATATATTCTATTCAGTATCTCTCATTACAGACTTGAGGGTCAATCTTCACCCTTAAGGGTTTCTTGTCTTGTCCATCGGCTCCTAGCCAGACAGCATCCCTCCACAGCAGTAGACTGGGGGAATGATGAAGGAATAAAGAATTACACCAGAACAGGAGGCAGGGAGATGGATTCACAGAGCATTATGGGCTGGCAGGTGTTGAGGTACAGGCAGAGACTTCATCAGTCCTTCTGACTTCAGTGCTTCAATACTACTTTTTCAGCCGGCTGCAAGAGAAAAGTATTATGTGAGCACCAGTGCTGGAGAGGTGAGAGGCTCCACTCAGTCACCCTCAGAGCCAGCCAACCCCCACTTATGTTTTTTGCTTAGTGTAAAAAATGGCTGCTCGCCCCTGGAGCTGAGGATGCAAACAGTCACTTGTGCATCCACACAGCTGCGGTTTAGGTTTCAGTTACACTGAGCTGCTTACTTGGCAGAGAGAGTTAAAGAACAACTGTATCAGCACTTGTATTGCACAGATTTGTCTAGTTTTTGGTGCAGTTGTACGGGCTTTGTCCTCTCCTTATGGGGATGATTTTTTTTAACCTTGATAAAAAGTAGGAGAAAACAAGGTGAATTCTTTGACACACGTTGCGCTGACCAACTCTTCACCGCATATGCGCCCCAGCTATGAAGTAACATTCACCAATAAACATCACCAGAAAATCAATTCTCACTGAATTCTCAGTGACAGTGAAAATAAAATAAGTAAAAGTGTCACAATTTGCCCATCACCAGTGAAAATGAAGCAGAAGTACAGTTCTGTACCTATGCATTCATTGAAGCAGTTCATGCATCATCTTAGCCCTCCATTTCCAGTGATAGAATAACCACCAGTGTTTCTTCACAGCTGCTACAGTGCCTGATATCAGAATAAGCTTAAAGACCTAGAAAAAGGCAGCTACTCAGCTGAGAAATCCTTGCTCCCATGAAAAGGGCCAGGACATGATGGTGTATTTCGTATCACCTGAGGCTTTTAGGAGAGGGAATGAAAAAAAAAAGAAAGAAAGAAACCCAACTCCAAAGTAATTTATTGTAGCTCAGGCAGATAAAAGAAGTACATAAAATTGGTTCCACAGGAAAGTCAAATCAAGTGCATGAGCAAAATACAAGCATATATGTGAGATATATATATATAGTTTGTGTTTATATATATTCTATGTGTTTATATATATTCTATTCAGTATCTCTCATTACAGACTTGAGGGTCAATCTTCACCCTTAAGGGTTTCTTGTCTTGTCCATCGGCTCCTAGCCAGACAGCATCCCTCCACAGCAGTAGACTGGGGGAATGATGAAGGAATAAAGAATTACACCAGAACAGGAGGCAGGGAGATGGATTCACAGAGCATTATGGGCTGGCAGGTGTTGAGGTACAGGCAGAGACTTCATCAGTCCTTCTGACTCCAGTGCTGCAATACTACTTTTTCAGCCGGCTGCAAGAGAAAAGTATTATGTGAGCACCAGTGCTGGAGAGGTGAGAGGCTCCACTCAGTCACCCTCAGAGCCAGCCAACCCCCACTTATGTTTTTTGCTTAGTGTAAAAAATGGCTGCTCGCCCCTGGAGCTGAGGATGCAAACAGTCACTTGTGCATCCACACAGCTGCGGTTTAGGTTTCAGTTACACTGAGCTGCTTACTTGGCAGAGAGAGTTAAAGAACAACTGTATCAGCACTTGTATTGCACAGATTTGTCTAGTTTTTGGTGCAGTTGTACGGGCTTTGTCCTCTCCTTATGGGGATGATTTTTTTTAACCTTGATAAAAAGTAGGAGAAAACAAGGTGAATTCTTTGACACACGTTGCGCTGACCAACTCTTCACCGCATATGCGCCCCAGCTATGAAGTAACATTCACCAATAAACATCACCAGAAAATCAATTCTCACTGAATTCTCAGTGACAGTGAAAATAAAATAAGTAAAAGTGTCACAATTTGCCCATCACCAGTGAAAATGAAGCAGAAGTACAGTTCTGTACCTATGCATTCATTGAAGCAGTTCATGCATCATCTTAGCCCTCCATTTCCAGTGATAGAATAACCACCAGTGTTTCTTCACAGCTGCTACAGTGCCTGATATCAGAATAAGCTTAAAGACCTAGAAAAAGGCAGCTACTCAGCTGAGAAATCCTTGCTCCCATGAAAAGGGCCAGGACATGATGGTGTATTTCGTATCACCTGAGGCTTTTAGGAGAGGGAATGGTTCACAGTGTGCTGTGTTTTTCTCCTCTTTTTCCTTGTCGCCCCAAGAAGTTATTGGCAATTTTCACAAATTGCAGTCCAGCACTGTGCTAGCAGAGCTGGAATCACATTATGGACATCATGAATTTTTAAAGTTTAGCTTTCATCCTTGAGCCTGGTTCTGTGCCTTTCACCTCCACAACCTCAATATCCAGGTCCCAGATCCACCGTGGAACCCAACAAAGGGCTCTGGAGCTAGTGCTTGGGTCTGGCCAACTCCTCTTCAACATCAAGGTAATTCAAATGAAAACTCTCTGCCCAGAAGATTCCCAGCACTGTGCTAACATGGGTTTGGAGCGTAACAGGAAATTCATTAAATATAGCTCATAATTCTTAAACATGACTTAGAGCTGAAAATGATGAAATGCAGCTGTACTGTAGCACTAAGCAGACCCAAGTTCCATTTTTCCCCGCTCGACCATCAAGCTCCCCTGTCTTGAAAACAGACTCTTTGCCCATTCCAGATGCCCTCGTTGCCACTTACTGTTGACACTGGCACGTCTTGTTTTCCAGCAAGTATTGTCTTGCTTGTATCATCCTTTTTGCCCGTTGCTGCCAGGAAAGAAGGGATAAATAATGATTGGATATTTTCATGCTTCAAATGCTTTCCTCTAAAGTGGTAGCCATAGTGGTAGTCTGACATCTGCAGACTGCCCATCTCTAACCATTTGCTGTGTGTCTAAGGACTGAGCCTTTATCTGTTCTGCCCTGCACCCAAAGAGAAAAATCAGACTCCTCCTACGGTTTGGGGAGACTTGTCATCTCTTCACCTTTCACAGGGACCAGGGCACTCACCCTTCTCCGCTGCCAGCTTATGCCACTGATGATGGCCAGGCACGCTAGACCAAACACCAGCACGCTGCCTGCAATACTTGTTCCGATAACCACGTAGCTCATCCAAACAGGAGCCTCCTCTGCGGAAGGAGAAAAGTATTCAGTGACAGACACAAAAAGAACTTTAGGGCTTTTGAGTGGAGGCAGGCACGTTATACTAATTCCCATACCCACGGAGTAATTAAGGCTGATCTTCACTTCCTCGTCTTCTACGAGGCGACAGCTCCACAGACCTGCAGCGCTCACGTTCACCTCCACTTTTGCTTCGTTCTGCTTTGACTTCTTGACGTCTGCCTGCGTCCCGTTCACACGTTCCCAGAGCAAGTGGGCGTTGGGTGGGAGTGGACTAGAGACCTGGCAGATCAGAGTCATCTTGGCCCCTCTGGGGAGTGGCCCAGCAGGGTTAGCTGAGACTGTGAAGGTAAGAAAAGGACATGTGAGTGAGAGGATGGGAAGAGAGGGCCATTCATACTCTTGGGGCTTCCAGGTTTCTGCAGTTCTTCAACTCTTGAGCCACTTCTCTTTTTCTCACCTTTCATCACCACCAGCTCTATCTTGCTCTGTGTGTGTCTTTTGTCGTACGCCAGCTGGCACTGGTACTGCCCAGAATGGTCAAAGCTGACTTTGGGCAGTTTCACTTCTATGTTGCTTTCAGCTTTCCTTTCAGGTATCTCAAAACGAAAGTGGCTGCGTTTTTGGGTCTCATGCTTCTCTCCCCGTGCTGTGACATTGAAATCAAGTAGCTCAATAGGGTCTGCATTTTCCTGTTGTGTCCATTTCAGGTGTCCTGTGAAACCTTCTTTCCATTTTATCTTCTGGAAGTTCAGACGCCATGACAAGATGACAGTGCTATCAACAGTTGCATACTTTCTTTCAGAATCTGGATTCTGAAAACCTGAATTCAGAAGAGACAAGGAATATCAAGACAGGGAAAGCAATGGCTACACTTCCCCCTGTCCACCCTTGATCACACACACACTGTGCTCAATTAAAAGTGGACTTGGAGAGAAGCCACAAGATACCCAGGGACCATAAACAATTAGTGTCTGATGATAGGTTTAAAGAGCCAAAGATCCCAAACTCACCAGGGCTGAGAAGAACAGACCCCAGGGAGAGGGAGATCTTTTAGGGCAAGCCTGGAGACGAAAATGGGAGCAAGCATGGGACAGAGTGCAGGCAGCAGAGCAATCCCCAAGCTGCAGTGTTGGAAGCCCTGGGAGATGGACCCTGGGGCACCATTGCTTGGGATGCTGGAAAGTAAAAGCTCATCTCATGAGCTGGAGGGAGCACTGGTTCCTAAGCCCGTGTGCGAGTTGCATTTCTGTTGTTGCATACCTAATACCTTCACATCAAAGGTGATGTTATCATTAATTGATGGAGAATGGACGCGACACCTCCAGGTCCCATTGTCCGTAGCTTTTAGTTCCTCTAACGTCAGTATGTATTTTTCACGGGTCTTTTTTTCAAAGTGTTTTGGTCTTACTGTCCTATTGTTACTGTTAAACAATGCGATGTCGAGATCGGGTAGGGGATGGGATGGATTTTGCGTTAAAATCAGCTCGGGGGCATCATTTGGCAGAAAGTGCCCACCTGAAGGAACTGTCACTGTAAAGAGAAAAAGTGCAGCCAATAAGTCAACTCCTCATCCTGCGAGAGAGGGACAAGTGTCACAGTAAAAAGAACATGGAAAACTTTGCGTCCTGGAGATGTAGGAGAAATGAATTATGATACTGTTTAAATTATGGTACAGGCCAGAAGAAATGGCAGCTGGATAAAGAATCCCAGCAGAGATGTGTCTCCAAGATCTGCAGTCTCCCGGTCTCCTCCCCCTTCACCTCCCCATGGATAAAAGACCTCTAATCACTCACATTCAAAGACATGCAGTGAGATGATACTGACTGGTTGAGAGCCATAGTCACAGGTGTAGTTGCCGGCATCGGAGAGCTTCAAGTTCAACACCTTCAGATCTTTATTATTGATGATTTCAGATCGATCGCTCATGGTAGCTTTGCCTTTTGAAACAATAAGCTTGGTTAGGAGGAAAGAGGTTTCTCAGCCATATACTGGGGAGAAGGGGTGATGAATTGGAAGCCTTACCTTTCAAAGAGCTACCTCTCCACATCCTTATGACAGATTTAGAGTACTTCCAGGTCACACCTGGGTCACGAGGTACCCCTTTGCAGTTCAGGATCACGCTCTGGCCTGTGACCCCAATCTGTATTTCATTTTTCTCACCCATAATGGGGATCAGACCTGAAAGACAATACCCACCAAAAAAGGCATACATTCACTTTCTGAAGGGTGGCTCAGTGAATACTTCCCGTCCCTCCAGAAAGATGCAGACATTTCTCCTCTGCTTTCCAGATACTGGGAAGATTATCCTCAGTTTCTGAATTTTACACTCCTTTGTCTCATTCATCAATCCCTTTTTTTTTTGAGCTCCATAACTTCCCTCCCGTACACTTTGGGCTCTTTACCCAGCTGACGGCTATTCTGTTTCACATACATTCAGAAACAGGGAAAATGCCAGTGGTTGTGGTGGATTCACCACCATTTACAATTTTGAGATGTCAACAGCTTTAGTGAAACAACCTTTTTCCATTGGACAAGTTAGTAGTTATCCCACTGGTAGCAAAGGCAGAACAGCATAGACCAGCCCTCCTTCACTCCCCGGTCAATACCTGAGGCAGCACTGGCAAATTTGCTCAGCCCTTTCTTCCAATTTGTGCATGGAGCAAGACATAAAATCCAGGAAAAAGAAAGGACAAAGTGAAAAAGAAACAAGGGGGCTGGCCTAATGCCAGGTTCCTGTTCTTGGGATGAGGGCTGTGTGACAGTAAAAGAAGTAGGATGTATAAGGTTGAAGAAACATTAGGAGTGGTGCCTTGGAAGAACCACTTCCTTTCCTTCACTGTGAAGAGGATTTCTGCAGAAGGTCATAAGAAGGAGATGGAGGTGCCAGAGGTACAACTGGGAATAAGGGGGTTGTGGTCTTCTGCCTCACTGCTGTGAATTTAATGGAGGGTTTTCTCCAAGTTACATATTCCTCCAAGGGCATGGGTAATCTTCAACATCGCCAATACAGGTTTTCAATAATCACACACTGGACCACAGAAAGTGATGCATTTGTCTTAAAATGTGGAATTATAAATGCTATTAGTAAGTGTTGGTATCTTTTGCTTTGCTTTTGGTGCTAAGGTGCATAGAAGATTTCCAAGCTTTCCTCTGCAACCAGAGGAATCAAAGCTGAGGGCCTGAGAATACAGAGAATAAAGGTTGACCTTATTCCTTTCTTGGAAAATGGGCATTTAGAAGTCCACCTAATCTTATAACATTAGCAATCAAACTGAGAAAACCAGTAGCATCACATTTGTAAAGGCAAATCTGTGATGAGAAGCACACAAGATTTTGCCCAGGGAGTGCCAGGGAGGGAGTGCGGAGGGCAGTATTTTCCACTCTGTGCTCAGCGTGCAGGATCTGGGCTGTGTTTGGCTCAGGAAATGGCTCTGCCCAAGGGACAAGTCCCTCATCAAGCATTTCTTCATATTCATACAATTTTTTGTGAACTTTCACTCTGAATTGCACAATGCCTTCCCCAGCGGGTGGTCTTGTTCTTTCATGGCAACATTGTCCGAGTCACACGCTGGTGTGCTACCACCCTTATGCACTCACTCCTGCATCCCTACAGGGCAGCTCCCCAAACCTGGTGATGCTCCACACACCCAGATTTTGGCTGGCAGGCTCGGCAGGCAGGCTGGGAACAGTCCCAGAGCTTGAGCTGTGCTTGCTGCCTCTGAAATAACAGGGTACAGATGTAGGGAGCCCCTCAGCTTCTAGCCCCTCTGTCCTAATCTCCACTGCATGGCCTCCCAGAGAGCTGTTGGGCAGTGCAGGTGGGCCAGGCAAGATAAGAAGATGGCTGTCACAGCTGCATCGCTGGTGAACGAGCCTGCTCTAAGCCGTGTGAGGTCTGTTATGTGGCAGATCGGGAGGAGCCTGAAAACACCCCAAAAAAGTTGTGAGGGTCGTGGAAAGGCTGTAAGAACTGGGAAGGTTCGTGGAGCTGAGGACTCACCCAGGTGCAGAACCAAGAAGATGGCAAGCGTGCTGCTCGCCGCTGTGCCGCATGTCTTCATCGCTGCAGGAACGCTCCTCCCTGCTGTGGACTGCAGGGCTGGAAACGCTGTCGCTGCCAAGGGATGTTATCCTGGAAGATCCAAATGCTCTGTTAATGGCAGTTGATTTTCAGACCTCGGTGGATGAGGCCCACATTCCCACTCAGTACCCACCATCCTTCGGTGCAGCCAAAGTGGAAACTCGTCGGTAAAGTCACCTGAGCCCCGTGTTTCAGCAAAGAATCCAGCTGCAGTGTTCCCTCTAGAGTTTGGCATTAAGTGTTTGATTTTACTCATCCCTAGGTTTCTGGCATTCACTGGACTGCAGGTGTTTATACTGCCAGGAGTTCAGTGCTTTTTTTACTTCTCTATGGTGGCTTATCGTCGCTCTTGCAGCAATTAAGGCTAAACACATACAGGGCTGCGTTAACAAGGGCACAGCCAGCAGGATGAGGGAAGCAGTTATTTCCCTCTATTTGGCACACCTGAGGTCTCATCGAGAATAGAGGATCCAGTTCTGGGCCCCCAGTACAAGACGGATGCCAACGAATGGGACAGAGTCCAATGGAGGTCTACTGGGACGGTGAGGGACTGGAGCACGTGATATACAGGAGGAGACAGAAAGCTAGGTTTGCCAGGGTGAAGAGAGCCAAGGTGGGGTCTTTTTTTAGTCTCCCTCTAACTAAAGGATATTACCTAGGAGAAGGAGCTGGATTCTTCTCAGAGGTGCATGGGAGAGGAACACAAGGCAGCAGCCACAGGTGGAGGCAGGGAACTCCTGACTAGATACCAGGAAAAATTTCTTCCCACTGAAGGTGATTTAGCATTGGAATAGATGCCAAGAGATGCCAGGCAACCTCCACCCTTGGAGATGTGCAGAGATTCCTTGAGCAATGTGTTGTAGTTTAGAGTCAGCCCAGCTGCGAGCAGGAGGTTGGACTGGAAACCTCCAGAGGTCCCTTGCCATCTAAATATTTCTGTGCAACTTTGGAATTCTATGATCAAGGCCATCTTAAGGCTCTCATTAATATTTTTCCTAAGTTTGTTTTTTGTCTGCTTATTTCTTACCTTAAAAATCTCAATAACCACCAAGTCTGGTGTTATTGGAAAGACTTGCTTGAATTCCCAGCACTATTCAACAGAAAGTCTGGGGAAAAGGCAGGAATGAGGTCAGAAAGAAGAAGTTGCATTGATGGTAACAGAATCTTAACTGAGAACTGGGAGCTAACTGTCATGTTAAGGTGAGTTATCAAATTAGATGAAGTATCTGACTGTAGCAGAAACCAAGTGCTGGTATCAGGTGCAGCTGGGTGGGCTGACAAGGTGAAGGAGAACATGGCTGCTGCTGCGAGGAGATTACCAAGCTCTAAACCAAGGCATATATCACAAAAAGGAAGCCAAGCAGGTTAACCAGTCTGGGAAGCAAACAGAAAACAGTGAGGTGACTGATTCATCATCCCTGGACGTGTTTAAGAGTCATTTAGATGTAGTGTTGGGGGATATGATATAGGGGAGAACTTTGTAGAGTAGGGTTGATGGTTGGACTCGACTATCCCAAGGGTCTTTTCCAACCTAGATGATTCTATGATTCGCTTCTCCAAAAGCAGGCACTCCCCATGCCAAGAGGCCCTTGGGGCGGACCTTTTCTCTTGCTTGTATAAGATGTCAGTCCTACGAGGACTTGTCCCTGGGAGGCATCCACCATCCCTCAGACAGAGACCTCCAAGGGACCTCTTGCGGCCGGGGTGGCTGAGCCAAGAAGGGAAGCTCAAGGTACCAGGGATCCAGCTGACGAGGCACTGGGGCAACTTAGAAGGATCCCACCTCCAAGCACAGCAGTGGTCGGGATGAGGCAGAGGCTGGAGGATGCCAGGTTTGTGAAGGGGAGCTGGGGGGTGCTGTGCAAACGCCGACAGGATACGGGAAGGTCAGAAAAGGTCTTACGGGCATAGCTTAACATGTGAGGCAGGAAGTTCAAAGCTGGAAATTCTTCTAGAAACATGCGTAGGATGAGGCGGAGTGCCAGAGTTGCAACGTGTGACAGAGAAAGTAGTGTAAAGAAAGGGGATATGGGCTCGTCAGGAAGCAGGGAACTTGGGGAGCACTGAGGGGGCTGTACAGAAAGCATGTGCTTGCTCTAAAGCAAGAGAGGCTTCATTTAAACTAAACCAGAACCTGGCTGCTGACATATAAGATAAGAACATTTTTAAACAAAGGCTGGGGAGAATCCAACAAATATAGAAGAGCATATTATGTGGGCTGAAGCATCCGAAACTCAAACCCTCCTCAAGTGAAGGGTCAGACAGAAGCTGACAAAGCTCAAGGGACGGAAAGGGGGAAGCAAGGTGAACAAACCAAGTCCTGTTTTAATGGACGATGGGAAAACACTATGGATGCTTCCAATGGCGAATGTCAGATATCAGAAACAGAACTGGTAAGTAGTGGGGATGTGGAGGAGAGAGCCAAGCCCAAGGAATTCTGGATTCCTAACAAAAAATTCACACCAGTTTTTAGAGAAGTCAGTAGTATAACTGGTGGGAAAGTCATTCAGCTCTAGCTGATAATAAAAACCTCCTTTCACAGGTAGCGTGATCGAAGGCTGGAGTCATAATGGGATTGAACTCAAAAGAAATATAAGAATAATTTTATACAATATATGTACAGTGTGCAATATTAAATATAATAGGATAATTTAATATTGAAATTAATTTAAATGATCAGAGCACATTAAACTATCAAAGAGTAAATGAAAACATCAGCACTACGTTTACAGAGAGATCGGGTCAGCATAACCGACAATCTGACAGCCAGACAGATGTACACACGTATGAAAAATACAGGTGCAAGAGCTAGGCAGAAGCCATGTGCACCATCAGAAGAGGCATAGATCGCAAAGGCACAGTCAGAGAGGATTTGTGGCTTGCCTCGTGCAAAGCGAAAAACCCATCCCATCCCCGGGGAATAATCTGCATGAGCTGTTTTGTGTGAAAACAGCAAAAAACAAAGGAGCCGGTGCGTGTGATTGGAGACCACTTCTAGCAAGATGCAGTAGCAGTGACCAAGCAGTTTGCTGGGTGACGCTACAGAATAAAGAAAGGGGCAAGAGCAAGGCATCTGTATGCATCTCACTCCGAAGAAATACCTGTAACCGAGAACTGGCATAGGGCCCTGGGTAGGATCCGTTCCTGAGAGGACAGAAGAAACCTCCTCCCCACTGTGAGCACTGGTGTCACCGGTCCCAGTGGGAGCAGCAGGAAAAGTCAGCCCCCGCTTTAAAGTGGTATCTACAAATTAACCAGGTCAATGCTGGGTTTCAAATATTTTAAGTCATTCAACTTTTTATAAAACCTGAAGATACTGGAAGAGGTAAAAATTAATGAAATGGCTGAGTCACACACACCATCATTTTGTTTTGGCAGGGAATCTCTATTTTCCTGTCATCTTATGGCTTCGGTTTTTTTCTTCACCTTCTTGCTAGCTGGGTTCTGAGTGAAACCACACAACCAGAGCACCGTGGGACTGGTGAACTGCTGACCTTGCGCATCTTGGTAGCTGCAGGCTGATGCACCTTCGTTTTTCTGTTTCTTCTTGAGGTTTCACCTGTTCTGCATTCCTACTTCATTTGCGCTAATCTTTGTATTTCTGTGTCAGATCTCTACAACGTGGCGTTCGCCACCTACATCTTACAAGTCAGCGGGGAAAATGGGTTGCCTTCAGCTAGGATTTCTTTCATACACTTTCTCCCTCCCGGTTTATCTCTACTTCTCAGGCGTGCCACTTCCTATTTTCCCCCTGCCTTTCTGCCTCCTTCTGCATCCCTCCAGGTCAGATCACAGGCAACACTACTCTGGAGTCTACCGATCTCGGCGAGCAAGGCTCTGCTATGTTAACTGAGCAAGTCGCTCTCATTAGCAGATGCCTGTAGCAGACCCGCAGCCTCCTTACAGGCAGCCCAGCTGTATCTTCTGGTGGCACTCATAAATTAAGTGGTGTCAGGGAATGTCCCCAGGCACTGGAACACACTCATCAGTCCTGTTAAATTGCTAGAACATCTCCTGACACATTTTTGGCCCGGGACAACTCTCACTCTCCCGAGCAACTCCCGGGATGCATTTAGGTGTTAGCAGGGGCCAGGGACCACTCCCATTAGGTGGCTGGCACGTAGCCAGTTCATTTTAGAGGTTAAGTGAGTTTAATAGCCCAGACCATCTCATGCCAGTTGGCCTCTGTGCAATGAAACAGTCCAGGCATACTTGATTTATTAGCACGTCTAGCGACGGAGGAGCAGGGCTCCGTCCCAAGTGAACATCGATTTCCATTTCATTTTAACTTCCCCCCTCTTATTAAACTGGCTTAATTTCCTTCTTGACTTCTTTTAATAATCCCTGCCTCTCTGAGGGATAGGAAGAGGAGAGCTGAGGTAGCGAGCAGCCTGGGGGATGATGCCTGCAGGACCAGGTCTGGCCTGGAGAACATCTGCTTGTTCTCCAGCACCCAGCCCCAGCAGGCGACGGCTGCAGAGAGCTCTCCCTGGGGCTGGCACCGGCATGACACGGGAGGAAACTGAAATTTAAAAAAACCCCAACAACAACAACAAAAAACCACCAACCCAACAAAAAAACACAGCCCCAAAACTCAGAAACCGCTCGTGATGCAGAGCGGGGCCATCTCCCCCTGCACCTCTTTCATGCCGTGCGGTTTCCTTGTTTTCTGCTCTCGCCCTTTGCTTTGTGGCTGCTCTTTTTGATCTGGCGGCAGCAGCTCGCTCTGCCAGGGGCAAAGTGGGGGGGCCCTGCCCTCCCAGCCATCCGCCCCTCCAAGGCCTCCCCCACCTCAGCTTTCCCCGAGGCCGCCGGGCTGCCCTTCCCCTGGCCATGGCTGCCAGGACGGAGCTGAGGGAAGGTGGCTGCCCCCCTTGGGTTTGGCTCAGCTGCGGGGCTCTGGGTGGGCTACAGAGGACCTACCTCTCTTTTCCTCAGTTTTCAACCTCTAAAGCAAAGCTGAGCCAGCAGCTTCACACAGTAGCGGTTTCTTTGAAATTGATTGTTAATGTTAAAGCAAACATATGTGAGCAGCAGCAGGGTAAGAGACCATCCCTGGGAGGTCTTCAAGGCCAGGCTTTTAGCAACCTGGTCTAGTGGGAGGTGTTCCTGCCCTGCAACAAAATTAGCCATCAGAAAGCAAAGAGACAATAGCAGTGAAGACCATGTCACAGGCCCTGCTGTCCCCCTCTGACTGGCCAACCCTGTCCCAATTTCCCCATGGGTGCTTCTGGCCCTTCATGTGAGAACAGTGGCCAGACTTGAGAGCTGCTGTGAGATGGAGATGCTGGGGCAGGGGCCATGGGGCCCAGAGTGTGATACTGCTGATCCCTCACAGAGAGAGGTCCCACCATCAGGAGGAGGCCACCATCTCAATACCAGCCGAGCTCTCTTCAGCTGTGAAGTCCCCATGGCCTAGCCGTGTGCCTGGACCTATCTGGAGGCCATGAGAAGTGGTTCCATTCCTGCAGCCTTTAACCCCTCCGGCAGCCTAAGGAGATGCCAAGACCCGTCTTTGCCTCACGGGCATGTCAGCACTTGCTTTCTGAGCTTTTCCCCTTCCTCTTAACCCCCTTCTTTCCTCCTAACCCTCCTCTTTTTGGCTCCATAAACAGCCTTTCACCCTGCAGCTTGCACCCACAGCCCAGGGGTGACTTTCTAAAGCCGCTGGAGGCTATGACTGGCAAAGGCACTGAGATGCCCTCAGAAAGCAGGCCCTCCATCACCCTCCCAAGCCATGTGCATGCACAGGATGATGTTCAGTTATCATTAATGCAGATTCCAAAGTGGGAACAGAGAGATCTTACCATACTTGATGTGCAGCCCAGACCAGAGAAGGGTCTATATAAATATTGATAAGGTCAGCATGGCAAAATGGCGTATAACACGCCCTATTTAGAGCAAAAATGCCTCTGTTACACCTAGGGAGCCCAGGAGACATCCCTCCTTAATTTTCCCTGGTGAATAAGGGATCCCCGCGCAAGGCTGTGGCAGATCGTGTGGACAGTGTCCCTGGGTGCCCAAGAACCGCGAGCGGGAAGGGGACGGATGCTCAGTTGAGATGAATCAAGCCCTGCTGTTTTGCAGGCAGCTTTGGCAGCCATGTTTGTGAAACACTGGGGAGAGGAAAGGAAAAGTCTGTGAAATGATTTGTGGCTAATGTGCACCAGCGACTTAAGAGGACTGTTCAGTTTATAGCAGAGAACGTTAAGTAACCTGTGCTCAACCTTAACACAGCACGTAGAGGAATATCTGGGGTGGCTTGATGAAGGCTGAGTAGGATACGCCACCTGAAAGTTGAAAAATTCAACCAGAAATGAAACTCCCATTTTCAACAGCGCGGCAGCCCGTGGAAGGGTAAGGCAAGTCTCTTTCCTGGTGTCTTTAGGTTGAAAGGATCCCTCTTTCTCCAAGAAACACTGCTCTCTCAGCCCTAAGCTAGTGGATGGGGCTGCATCAGCAGCCGGTGTCAGGCAGTGAGACAGTCAGCCTGGATTAGCAGAACAGACCCCTCCGGTCTCAGCACGTACAGATGAAAGCAGACGTCCCTAGTTAGCTAGAGACCAGAATCTTCTTATTTTTCAGGCTTTTTTTAGATTAAAGTTCTCCTGCCCGGAGGGCACGTGGAGAAGGTGATAGCAAGTGGCAGCTGGTGGAGGGCTGCTCCCCAGTGCATTTCTGACCCTAGGGGATATACGGTCATCAGTGACAGGCCCTCATATTTGACATTTTTCCCTATACATGGGTTTGAAAGATCTGTGAGATGCCCGGGCTCCGAGCCAGTTTAAGGTTTTTGTAGCTCCTCTTTCAGGAAAAATCCAGGGAGACAAACACATCTTACTTAAAGCTAAAAGGCCTTGGAGAATTGCACAGCCAGAAGTATTATCGAGTCAAAGGTTCAAGATGGTTTTACATCAGACCTTTAAGTGGGGCAAAACCAATCCATTTGTGCCGAAACAGCAACTTGTGTGGAATCGTAAAGTTTGTAACATTAAAAAAAACGAAAACAGATTGGCCTCTTTTCTCAGAGAAAGAAAAAAAGAAAGAAAGTTTCCTTACCTCTTTTTTCCTCTGCCTCTGTGTTTCTGTCTCCTTGTGTTTGTCACCTGCAGTAATTGATCTCACCCAGCTACAGCTGAAACAAAAGAAGAATGAAGTTGATGTTCAGAAAGCAGCTCAACAGACGTTGGCCTTGATGTCTCCTCCTCTCCAGCGGGAGCGTCGGCAAGGTCTTGCTGCCAGTCCAGGTTCTGCTGATATCCGCCAACTTCTCTAGGTAAATGGTGATTTTCCAAATGCATGTGATCTCAATTCTGGGTGTGAACAGAAATGGAGACCATAACGGAAGGCGATGTACTGCAGTGCCTGGGGAGAATGAGTGTGTAAAACAGAGAGAGCCTATTGGCCATATGGCAGCTGATGGGAGGCCGTGACGGGGCTGAAACTTAAAAGTGAATGGTTGGGAAGCGGTTCTGCTCTACTGACAAAGAAAGCTCACCAATTAACATGTTAGCTGAGCAGATCCGGACCTAGGTCGCACCTCTGAGACTCTGTAAGAGCAAGACAACCTCCGTTTCCGAGCCTGTCTCCTGCACCACCATTAAGCAGAGGCACATCTGAGGAGTGGGCCATGGACCTGACCCCAGGGGTTGAACAGGGGTAATAACAGAGGAAGAGAGAACTCCTGATGGTATGTTAGGGGAACCTATCTGTGGAGTATGGCTGGGATTTGGGGTGAAACGAGAGAATATTTTCTTTACCAGAGGTGGTGGGTTGACCTTGGCTGGCCACCAGCTACCCACCCAGCTGCTCTCTCACTCTCCCTCCTCAGTAAGGCAGGGGAAGAAGGTAAGATGAAAAAAACCTCATGGGTCAAGATAAGAACAGGGAGATCATTCTTCAATTAACCATCATGGACAAAAGAGTCTCGACTTGGGGAAAGATTAATTAATTTATGGATAACTAAAAGGAGAGTAGGATAGTGAGAAATAAAAGCAAAACTAAAACCACCTTCCCCCCCCCTCCCCGGCTTTTCTTCTTAGGCTTATCTTCACACCTGACTGTTCTGCCCCTCTTTCCCCCCACAGAGTGTCAGAGGGGGACGGGTAGTGGGGGTTGTGGTCAGTTCATTGCACTTCATCTCTGCTGCTCTTTCTTTCACACACTGTTCCCCTACTCCTTCAGGAAGTGCTCCAATGTGTATCCTTCTCATGGGCTACAGTTCTTAATGTTCATCTTGACATAAGAAAGACATCTTTTACAGTGAGAATAATAATTCACTGGAACAACCTCCCCAGGGACGTGGTAAAGTCCCCATCACTGGAGGCTTTCCAGAAGCAAATGGACAAAGTGCTAGATAATTGCATCTAGGGCCCCTTTCCCATGAGAGGCTGTACCAGATGATCTTTCAAGGTCCTGTCCAACCTGGGATGTTCTATGATTTGATCATTCTAACTACTCCAGCATGGGTCCTCTGCATGGGACACTGTCCTTCAAGAATGGACTGCTCCAGCATGGGTCTCCCATGGGCCACAGCTCCTGCCAGAAAACCTGCTCCAGTGTGAGCTCCTCTCCACAAGCCACAGCTCCTTCCAGGAGCCTGCTCCAGGACAGACTCCTCCAGGGGCTGCAGGGTGGTATCTGCTCCAATGTGGACCTCCATGGGCTTCAGGGGGACAACCTGCATCACTATGGTCTTCTCCAGGGGCTACAGGGGAACTTCTGCTCCAGTGCCTGGATGGAGCACATCCTCCCCATCTTTCTTCACTGATCTTGGTGTCTGCAGGGCTGTTCCTTTCATATTTTCTCACTCCTCTCTCTCACAGCTGCTCTGCAGTGGTTCAGTGGTTTTTACCCTTTCTTAAATATATTATCACAGAAGCACCACGAGCATTGCTGATTGGCTCAGCCGTGGACTGTGGTGGATCTGTTTTGGAGCTGGCTGGACACAGTTCTGACTGACATGGAGCCAGCTTCTGCTCATATCTCACAGAAGCCACCCATGCAGCCCCTCTGCTACCAAAACCTTGCCATGCAAACCCAATGCAAGTTTACTCTTAGGTAAGCTCTAGCGCTACTGAATCTCAGCTGCTTCCCTTCTCTGTGGGGTGGAGGAGGGGGCTTTTGTGGTTTTCCACCCACATTTATTGTCTCTCTCTCTGAATCCCAGCCTCAGCCAAGACGGCGGAAACCCACCGAGCCCCAGACACGGCTGAGATTTCATCTCTGTTGCCACCCACTCTTCTCCTCCTGCAGTCACTTGCCCCTTTGTCTGGAGGATGGGGGTGCGAGTTGCACCCAGGCTTTGGAGGAGCAGGGACAGACAGACACAGCAGTGAGGTTCATAATGTGCTGCCAGGAGTGAAAGGTGCAGAGCTGATCAGGCCTTGGGTGCAACCACTGGTCCATTGGTTGTGTCTTTGGAGAACTATGAGTCCATCCCATCACAGGGAAAGAGCCACCTGTGTGAGACAGGAACTTACTTCCTAGTGTGGGATACAGGCTACAGGACTGGATGGGATGGGATGGGATGGGATGGCATGGGATGGGATGGCATGGCATGGCATGGATGCAAATGTCCAAAGCCTGTGAAAGCCCTGTTCTGAGACACGGCTCTCCTGACAGAGCTTGTGACATCACATCAGTGTCTTCAAAATGCTCTCACGGGTGCCTGCAAGTAGAAATATCCCTTCTGGTCCCTAGCTGCCATAGAAGGGCTTTCCTGGGAAAAGCAGAGCTGAGAAAAATCAGGTTGGGATTGTAACACCTTGATGTCTCGGGGTTTGGGGCTCTGGGTCACTGGTTCAGTTTGCATGGATTCTGGATTGCTTTTTGTCTCCCCAGCATGCTGTAATGCAAAGACACTGGCTTGTTTTTAAACAGTTGGTTTATGTCACTGCAAATACTTACCAGAAATAGCATTCCCTGAAGGGGCAAAGCTTCTAAAATGCTCTTGAACTCGCTGTGGAGTTGCAAGGAGAAGCAGAGCTATGGGTCTGAGGCGGCAAACGCTGCGGGCTTGCCCCCTGACTCAGACCCATTTTCACCCCAGAGGAGGGATTCAGGAGGGAGTCTCCTCTCTCAGAGCTGCTACAGCTGTGTGGTGAACAGGTACCTCAGGGACTGAGGGTCACAGCGTGCGGTGACGTGTTTGGATCGCTTTCATCCGAGCATCTCAAAGCACTTTGCAAGCATTAATTAAACATCAGAATCCAGGAGGGATGAATAATAATAGCCAGCCAGTCTCTCTTCTGAATGTAATATTTCTCATAAATATTTAACTGGTTTTTAAATTCCATGCGAGTCTGGTTCTCACCTCGCTGGGACAGTTGCTGTACTGCACCCGTGGGGAAAGTGGGGCTTATTCAGCATCACACAATGACCCTGCAGCAGAGTGAGAAGAGCTTGAACATCACACACTGCTCTCCCCCCCAGAAAAATTTGTGGCTGTCATTTTTCCCTGTTTTCTCCCCTGCAGAGACATTCCTCACCCACCCCATGCTGGTCCTCTTTGCCCGAATCCCATCACCAGCAATATTTTCGCAAACTGGGGCTGGTGAGTAAGAGATTCTTGGAGATTTCTGTGGAGAGAGGAGGCTGCCAGGCTATGCTGGGTGGAGGTCACAGTCTGCAGGCACATGAAGTCTCTCTGAGAAAAGTGTCAAAAAGGGGAAAAAAAGGCCTCAGAAATCAGATGTTGAGACTCATTGACTCCAGAGGAAAGTCAAGAAAACTCTGGAGATGGTTTCCTTAAAACCAAGTTCCCTGCAAGTCAGTGCCTGAGAACTCTGATGGGTGAAGGATAGCCAGGCGTACTGGAAAATTAGTGATTTCTCAGCCGTCCTGGAGAGAAAGAAGGCCAAGTGTTGAACACAGCATGAAAACCTGTGTCTTCAGGCACCTGAATGTCAGCGACTTCAAAGGCCAGGATCTGCCTCTTTGCAACAGCACAGCTGCCACCTGTTGAGCTGGTGGAGGAGCGTTTCTGATGCTAGATGTGGAGAGCTGGAAACACCCAGCCTTCTGGGGAGGAGGCCTGGTGATTTGCCCCAGCACAGCTACCTACCTGGGAAAGGAGGAAGGCTCCTCCTAGGTTGGGCTGAGAGGAGATCCCTCTCTGCAGGCCATTGGAGTCTCGCTGCAGAAGCTTAAATTGGGTAGGGAGGGCTCTCTAAGGAGATATCTTGAAGGTTCATTTGCTGGTCACAGTGGGAAATCAGGAAATCTCCAGAGATGTTCTTCCTGAGCAAGGGGTCCCCTGTATTTTAGTGTGTGGGGGTGAGAAGTCTGATGGGGAAAGACTAGCCAGATACACTGGGGAGACAGGGACTGCTCAGGAGAGCTGGAGAGAGGGATAGTCCCAAGAATGTCCAGCGGCAAAAGTGTGTCACCAAAAGTGACAGGGGCTAAAGTGAGCCCAAAACAAAACCAAGCCGATGTTAAATACGTGTCAGAAATGCATCAGGCAGGAGAGAGGTGGCTGGGGGAGGTGTTCAGGACCTGCATGGGGTGGGTATTACTTACTCTCTTACTAGTAATCATGGAATCACAGAATCACGGAATTGTCAGAGTTGGAAGGGACCTTCTAGAGATCATCTATTCCAACTCCCCTGTCAAAGCAAGATTGGCCAGAGCACATCGCTCAGGTCTGCATCCAGGAGGGTCTTGAAGATCTCCAGAGAAGGGGACTCCACAACCTCCCTGGGCAGCCTGTTCCAGGGCTCTGGCACCATCACTATAAAGAAGTTTTTTCTCATATTTGGGTGGAACTTCCCATGTTCCAGCTTGTGCCCATTGCCCCTCATCCTGTCACTGGGGACCACTGAAAAAAGTCCAGCTCCATCCTCCTTCAACCCACCCTTTAGATACTTAAAAGCATTGATAAGGTCTCCCCTCAGCCTTCTCTTCTCCAGGCTAAAGAGCCCCAGCTCTTTGAGCCTTTCCTCATCAGGGAGATGCTCCAGCGACCTTGGCACGTGGGAGGGGGAGAAGTTAGCGACAGCATTTGTTACGATGGGGTCTCATCAGTACAGAGAGGGTCTGGAATATCGCCCTGGGAGCAGCGTGAGGCTCAGAGCACCAACGCCAGGTGGGATTGAACAGGTCGTAACAATAGGAATTTTTGCTTGAACTTCCTGAGCTGAAGGCAAAGGCAGGGACGGTCCCGGTGGCACTAACCGGTCACGGGAGAGCTGAGTCACGGGCGTTCGCAGCACAAAAAGGAGCGAATGATGGATGTACCTTCTGATAAGAAGACGGGCGCGGGTGGGCGGGAAATCCCCGCCGTGCGTAGACACTAGATGGCGGCAGGAACCCGGGCCAAGGAGAGGACCTTCTGCCGGGGAGGG